TCCACACCAAATATACCTATCTTCCTCCGTTATACCACTGCTGTTTGTGTGAAATGATTTAAATCTATTCGTTTTACGTCTTTTGTGCACCCGTTGCACCCATAATCTTCACCCGCACTGAACCCAAAAAGTTATGAATACAAAAGGCATGGGTGCACTTGCACTCGCTGCACCCGTGGTTCCGGCATCCCTGTGACCAACGTGTCACAAGCACTATCTGCTTGTCTATCCTTGTCTCATTGGTCTTTTTGTCAAGGGAGAAAAACTCGTACCACAACCACATAGTATTATTATCGATTCTGTGACCACAACTCGCGACAAAACGTACACATAGATCTGATTCAGTGTTGCATGCATATGCCTGATAAAATTCATTGTTTACATATTTTTAATATTTACGGACTTTACGCAATACGACTTGTGCACGACTTTTACTTTGTTATGTAACTAGCCGTAATATTACTGTAAGTGAAGTTACTATATGTATAAAGCCGAAAATAACAAACCAAAAACTTAAAGACCATGTCAAGTCCGTTCTGCGCATCAGTTCTGCTCATAACAAATGGGGCCCAGAGATATAAACATTGCCCAAATTTTACATCTTTCGAACTTTTTGAATTGAAACGTACTCTAGTTTATATTCATTTACAGTTGCGTGTCTTATTTTGCAAATATAGCAGTTCAAAATGTAAACAAATCCTTTGTTTACATTACGGACTTGACATGGTCTTTAACTATAAACTGCCAATAATATACCCTGGATTCCAGAGCCTTCGACAGTAAATAATAAATTGAAATGTCGCGAAGGCTCTGGTTCAACGGGGAGATTCTTTGATTAAACCGCGCCAATCACAAAACAGAATGAGTGGTTTTAGTACAGATTCTGTACTAAAACCACTCATTCTGTTTTGTGATTGGCGCGGTTTAATCAAAGAATCTCTCCATTGAACCAGAGCCTTCGCGACATTTCAATTTATTATTTACTGTCGAAGGCTCTGGAATCCAGAGCCTTCGCGACATTTCAATTTATTATTTACTGTCGAAGGCTCTGGAATCCAGGGTACCAATAATACGGCTTTATACAGTAACTAATACATCAATTTAAAAAATTATAATTTAATAAACTTACGGTAACGTGAAATAAAAATAGCACACCTTAATTGAAAAGCCGTTCTATACTAGCACAGTACTTGGTACAGTAGTGCAAGTTAAATACAGAGATTAGAGTATAGTTGTATATGCTATATAGTGAGTAGTGTATAGAGTTAAGTCCGTGTATGACGGAAACGTGCGTATAGTCGCTGGTCAGTACATATGTTCGAACTATAAACTATTTTCGGAAATACTTTTTATGAAATACTACAATAATATATTGATTTACACATGTATTCATAAAGTACAGCGAGCTTGCATGACAAAACGTTTGAAAGAACTATTGTGAGCAGTGAAATATATTCGGGTTTGTGAGTTCTATGATACAGTATTAGTTTTATATAAGAAATATTGAGAATATAGTCATAAAGTAATTTTGCGGCTCAAAAAGAAATTATTACTTGGAGAACTGATTACTTGCCTACAATTTGTATCGAAAAGACGAAAAGGAGCAATCCAGCAACGTAAAATCTACATATACGGACTTGTATGGACTTTTTGTATATACAAATATACAAAAAGTAGTTTCAGGTAAACAGTGACAAGTCATGACTAAATTTAAATACAGTAATTAGCTTCGGCTTATTTCCGTGATCTGTCGGCCGACGCCCTATTGGTCGACACGAAATCGTAACTGCACGTAAAACCCATAAAACTTTATCAGCAGCCATCGGCAATAGCAATCAATGGCAATGGCAATGTGTAAACAAGTCCTGCATATAGTGAATAGACAATACAATAATTTGCGACATGTAATCCGAGACAACGCAGATAATGCACCACGCCCGTTTGAAACTATCTCGACTGTAGCTTTTGATCGGCATGTCTATTTTTATGTGGTAGTATTTCATCATATAAAAAGTAATCGCACATAAAAAATTAATAATTGCATATAAAAATACGAGCTAAAAATTAAAAGTAAAGTAAATGAACACGAGCTAAAATTATTATTTTGTTAAATGATTAAAATGTATCCTCAAGCTTTTCGCTCTCCAATTTCTACCCTAGACAATAAAAAAGCCATAAAATATTTGTAAAATACGATAAAACACTCCTACGCATGTTTTAAATAGAACTTAAAGAACTAGATAGAGATAATCAGTGTCACAATGTCCTTTTATTTTTATGTTATAAAATAATATGATCATTGTGTCTTCGTATGTCTTGAGTCACTTTGTGAAGTGGTTACACTGTAGTTCCGTCCCATTTTTCCAGCTTTAATATGCCAAATATCATGCATTAAAAATACCTTCATTGCTACAGTATTATAAGCAAATATAAGCATATACGTTAAAGTAGCACGAGAAACCATGCTATTACTTATTAATAATTTACATAAAAATGTTCGAGACAATTGTAGTTTTAACTTACGCAATTACGCGTTTATAGCGAACATTCCACTGGCAAAGTTTTCCTGGCTTTGTTATATCACATTATACAACGCTAACAGCTTGAAAATTCCACTCAACTATGTAATTTTTGTTAGTCTTGTTTAAGGTAAATGCTCTTCCATTTAAAAATAAAGATAAAAGCCATATTTTCCACGCGAAGGCAACTTTTACTTTGTGTAGCGCGGCGCCATGTTTGTTTTGTTTTGAAGCAATCTGTGGCCGTTACTTCTTTAAACTAAATTGCTTTAAACTGATTGGTTGATTTAATCAACACAATGTTTTTCCACCAATCAGATCAGTTTGTTACAGATTTTTGCACTGTGATTACAGAAAATTGCACTGTGATTACAAAAAATTGCACTGTGATTGCAGAAAATTGCACTGTGATTGCAGAAAATTGCACTACTGTTTGGGATTAACTGCACTGAAATCAACCAATCACAGTCGAGTAATATCTTTATGTATATATTTATTAGTCCTTTTATAACAGTCGTGAAGTTTTGAAGCATTTCTCGTGTTGACTTATTATGTTCATGAATTTGGTTGTTACAAAATATTTTTTAAAGAAATCTGGTAAATTATTAAGCGGTGGTACCGAAACATAAATAAGGCAGTTAAATAGTCAATGATTTAAGAGCAATGCCTCTGGTGTTCCACAAACTACCGCTCTGGCATTATTCGTGGAACAGGCGATCACATCACATGCATGCATGAGAGGCAAAGCTTGAAATATGATCGATTTACCGAATCCTGTAGTAGGCGGGTTGACAAACACATCTAATTTTTCTTTAATTATTGTTCGAAACACATTCTTCCGATGATCGTTTTAAAAGTAGAAATACGAAATTATGGGCGACTTCACACCTGCTTTACACAATGTTTGATCATACGACGCCATCTTTGTTTCGGAATTAGTAAATTTAAGCGCGAACGAGTTCCTGATTTTGGTACGCAGGCTGTGATTGGCTAAACAATCGGAATGGAATGTGTTGTTGAAGTAAGCAGCCTGTTTGTGGGGAGAAAACCTCGGACCCGCGAACAGGCTGCGTAGGAGACTGCGCTCGTGCGAGATATTTTCAATCAGGAAAATTGCCATAAGAGGTTTGTTTTTCTGCCTACGCTAATCAAAATCCGTACCCAGGGTAAAAAAAAACACTCCGGAAGTGATTTCTGCAGCCTTTTACCAGGAAAACTCCAATGCTTTACCAAGAATTTGGCGTCCGAAGTTGGCCGAACACTTTCCGACCACGAGAATCGCCATAATAGGGTCCACAAAACATACTGTTTCCCTCGCTCCCAGTAAATAAGTGTTAGATATCCCACTGGAGGAGTTTTCGACGTCGTCGACTGTCTGTTTCCAACCGTAAAATGTAGACGTTATCGTCTCGAATACAATAGAGACCTTACGATTTTAGGGCGGCAACGCGACAGCGACGGCCAAAACAAACTCCTTCAAATAAATGGTAGTAAAGATAGTTCGTCGTATATTATCAATCGTATGAATTTAATACAGTTTTAGAAGTTGAAGACATGGGTTTTATAGTTGGGAAGAGTTTTTTTTTTTGTTTTTTTTACAAACTTAGTCATAAATGACAGGTTAATTTACATTACAGGGTCCCTAATAATATGTATGTATATATATATATATATATATATATATATATATATATATATATATATATATATATATATATATATATATATATATATATATACATATATATATATATATATATATATATATATAAAACAAACAAAAAAACAACATTACATTATTTACAACACATTTTATCCACAAGACTAGACAATGGACGACACGAGTGACACTTGACACATATACTTTTAAATGTTTGTGGAGCATTAATGTTAAATATTTCTTTAGTCATTGCTTCATAATAAGTTAACAGGTAAGATTTGAATTGGCCGACAGTAACGCTTGCTTCTCGAATATGAGCTCTATCATAAAAACTGTTCTGAAAAGTTCAAGTGTTAACTCTGGAAAGTTTTAATGTTACACTGTTAGTTGTAGCGCGCCTGGTGATACGATCGTTTGATACTATACTAATCTGAGAGTCATTCAATTTAATTGCCTTAAAGAGACACACCAAGTCCAGGTACTCGTGCCAGTAAGACAGAGGAAGTAAACCTGTTTTCAATAGTCTCTCCTGGTAACTAGTTTCAGATCTAAACGGCAGCGATAGGATGAATCTCGTTGCACGTCTTTGAATCTTCTCGACTTCGAGGATTAATGACACAGACTGCGGGGACCAGACATGGGAGCTGTACGCGAAACGACTTCGTACTAACGTTTTATAAAGTGCTGTACGTGTACGAGGATCATGCATCTTAATGGAGGACCTTTTTACGAACCAAAGCGTTCTGTTTGCTTTCGCACATACAGCAGAGACTTGTTGGTTCCATATGAGATATGCAGTGATGAGAACGCCAAGATCTTTTTTAAATTAACAAGCCTTTTACAGATGACCGTTGAGTTGGCTGAGTTATCGTTGTTGCCAGATGGTAAGATGACTGCACGGGTTTGAGATTCCTTGTTACCTTAAGAACTCCACACTTAGTTTCGTTAAGGTTCATGCGCCACGTCCGACACCATTGGCTGATTCCATCCAGATCACATTGGAGAGCTTTTACGTCATCTGTTGTTCTTATGGCATGATAACACTTGGTATCATCAGCAAACAGAGCAACAGACGATGTGGTGGACTTTTCGGGCAGATCATTCACGTATACAAGAAACAATAAAGGGCCAAGGATTGAACCCTGAGAAACACCTGATAGAACGGGTATTGATCGGGATGTTTTTCCTAAAATGGTGACTTTTTGATGGCGATCTGATAGATAGTTATGAAACCAGCTCAGCTTGCGCAAGTTTCCGCAAACTCCAAAATTACTAAGTTTCTTGAGACGCAGCTGATGATCAACCCTGTCAAACGCTTTAGCGAAATCGAGATAAAGGACATCAGTTTGGATTCTCTTGTCGAGCGACTCACCAAACTCGTGTAGAACCTTTAGTAATTGTGATGTTGTAGACTTCCCCCTGAGAAATCCATATTGGAGGTTATGCAGTTCACTTGAGACATGGTTGATCAATTGGTCGTATATGCAACGCTCGAGCACTTTTGATACAATTGGAAGTAAAGATATCGGTCGATAATTTGAAACTTCGTTCTTTTGACCACCTTTAGGAATGGGTATTATATTAGAAACTTTCCATTCCGCTGGTACACTACCAGAAGTTAAGCTTCTATTGAAGAGATCAGCAAGGGATGAGGAAATGTATGGAGCACAACATCTAAGCGACTTTGCCGGAATTTTGTCTTGACCAGTAGCTTTGTTGTCATCGAGAGAGAGAAGAGCACGTTGAACGTCATCAGGTGATATGTTGATATCGCTTATGGGGTCACAGAAGGTGGTGGTGGACGCTGGATGGGCATCATAGTCTTCTTGGGAAAGTGGTGTATTAAACATAGAAAAGAAGAAGTTGTTTAAGAGATTTGCAACGTCTTCGGGATTTTCAGCAATGACAGTTCCTTCATCACGCTTCCAACTCATTTTGTTTGGTACACTAAATGAATTTGATGTAAATTTGAACAACGACCAGAATCGTTTTGTGTTTGATTTCATAAGAACAGGCAAAGACTGAAAGAACTCTTTTCGCTTACGGGATATCAGCGACTTAAAGGAACGGCGAAGGTTTCTGAAATTTTCCCAGAGATTGTTACTGCAGCAGCTCTTTCTGGCTTTTCTTCTAGCCGTTTCCTTTTTGTGTAATAGGTGATGCGTTTCACTGTCTAGCCAAGGGGGAGATGTTCGTTTTTTAATAATTTTAGTCGGGATATGACGATTTACAGCATCCATGAAACGATCACACCAACGTTCCCAGTCCTTGTTGATATCATCAGGATTACTATTTGTGCTCATGTTGTTGATTTGATTTAAGGCTATTGATGGCGACAGGTTTATTGTTAAAAGAGACTAGGACAGATCGTTTGTCACTGGAAGATAACTTGGCAAACAGGTTGAAATCAAAGAACAGAAGATTATAATCGCTGAAGAGGTCCATTGATTGTGGTCATATGCACGATACATCAATAACACACTCAGGAGTGTTGGTTAGGATTAGATCAAGGATATGTTGTTCAGCCTCGTCGGATGCGGGTTAACTTGTTCAAGAAAAAAGTCGTATACGAGATTTCGAAATTCAATGGAACTGGGAGGGGCATTCTGGGAAGTAAGGTCAGAGTTCCAAGTCAATACAGGAAAATTAAAGTCTCCAGTTATGAAAACTTTTTCATATTTTTCAGCCACTTGAAGGAACAACGTAAAATAACTAAGCCATTCATTAAGATCACCGTTCGGTGGTCTGTAGCAGACACACAGCAGGCATTTATTTGGTGTATGTGATTCAATTTCTATGGAGAGAATTTCTAAATGGTCAGACCAAGATTCCGAGTTAACTCTGTTATATTGAATTCCTTCACGCAATGCTAGCAAAACACCTCCACGTTTGTTGGATGGCCGATCTTTTCTGATAATGTTGTAACCAGAAGGCAATATTTAATTGTTACTGACATTATCATTGAGCCATGTTTCAGTGAGCGATATGACATCCAAATTTTCAGCGTAAACAAGTTCTTGAAACGATTTTAAGTTGCTTTTGAATGTTCCACCCTGTCGCTTGTTGACGCTTCGGAGGCTTTGAGTGTTGAATGATAGGCAACGTTGAGTTTTAGACATGGCCACAGGGCCTGGATTAGTATCAATATCACCAGCAAGTAAGATACAGAGGAAGACGTGTAATGGCTTTTGCTTAATCTGTAATTGAAGGCTATAACGAAGGTTGATATCCATGGTTGATCTTCTCAACAAGTTATCACGAGTAGAAGTTCACAAGAAACATAATTTATCTGGTAGTGTTGTTTGTTCCGAGGAAATCAAAACATTTTCAGGAGCGGATTTGGTGTTGAGATAATTAATTTCAGGTTTTGATCTCATTGATAGCCAGAAAGTTAGGAGAAAAAAGAGCACACCAGCTGCAACATTTAACGGCTTTTGATACGTTTTAGAATTCATTTTGCTAATTGACGATCCGGTGTAGCGGTCTGAGATTGCACCGTGCTGAGATTGTAAATCGTTGTTCTGCTCATGCGCAGTGACCGTATGCGCCTGCGGTTGCGTCCGCTGTATTCACGGCGTGCTGAGATTGCATCATTGGCACATCAAACCACAAACAACAACACGTTCTGTTTTTCTTTGCGAGAAACTTTTGGATATTTAGTTTATATACTGGATATTTTTATATCTGCACTTCGAGATCCTGGACATTGTCTTTATTCAAGGTAAAATTCTTATTAAAGTTTATTGTTTACATTGATTTAGCTACACATGTGTGCAAATCAAATCGCTAAATCAGCAAATGCAGTACAGATGCACGTGTTTCACGATTTTTACGAGAATGTCATAGATAGGTTTGATTAACTTATTAGGCTAGGTAGGTATTACTACTAGGTAGGTCTCCTACTTGTGATTTCTTATCGTTAGCTGGCTTTTTGATACATGAATTCAATACTGCATCACATACATGTAATATACTGTCAGCATCTCAGCCATTCTTTATTGATTATATTAAATGTGTTTTAAATCGATTATAAATATGCTATGATTGCTATCAGAATGATTATTAAACAATTCTTATACTTGTTTACTAGTGAAATTTGTGAACATGACTCCTTAACCAAGAAAAAATGATCCACACATAGTGTCTGATGAAACAGAGATATCTACCCAAGAAAATAAGCATCTCACCAGAGAAGAAAGACTTGGCAAGCACAATACGCAGTGTGAAAATTTGATCGAGTATTTGGTATCTAACAAATGCCCAGAAGGCTTGACAAAAAATGAGGCTCGGAATCTCAGAAACCAAGCTAAGACTCATCTGTGGGATTCGACTAGTAAGTATTGTAATGTGCCAAAGTCTATACATTATACTAATTAGTATATAATTACTAAATATTATGCCATGTAATGACATTTCTAATTTAACCCATTAAGCGCCAGCGCTCTCCCCTTGACGAGTAAAATCGTCTGGCGTTAGACAGAGTAAAATACTAAAGTAGGGCGCATCGGGGTGCAATGCGACTCAATGGGTTAACTAGACACATGGGGGGATAGGCCAGTTAACCCATTAAGTGCCAGCGCTTTCCCCTTGACAAGTAAAATCGTCCGGCATTAGACAGAGTAAAATACTAAAGTAGGGCGCATCGGGGTGCAATGCGACTCAATGGGTTAACTGGTGTTTGCTTAGGCCATGTATTATTTTATCACATCACTACAATTCGGTTAGAAAGCACAGAAATTCATGGCCTTTACTTACTAATGCCATATGATCTTACTAAGGGCTGGATTTATAGGGGGGGTGCGCACCCCTGTTGGCCTAGGTCAACAGGGGTGCACGGGGGTGCAAAAAATCAAATTATTCAAGGCACCACCAGTAAAAATGGAAATAGCCGATATTACTATTTTTGCATACAGTACCTGGGGGAGCATACAGTACCCCTGGACCCCTAGGAAGGCCCTCAAGTCGTTAGAAAGCCAATAATTCGAACCGATCTGACCGCGTAGCTCAGTTGGCAGAGCGTTGGGCTAGTAATCCAAAGGTCGTAGATTCGATTCCCACCGTGGTCAGGCATATTTTTCAAACTTGCCCGGTGTGGATATACACTCACTCAGAGTAACATTACAAGCATTATAATATATTTGTTTAGCTACAGTAGTAGTGATAATCATTATTGCAGGAAATAAATTAAATTAACATTCAGTAGTTTATTTCGCCTTGATGGGTAAAGTCGTCTGGTATCAGACAAAGTGAAATAACAAAGTAGAGTAACAACAGATTAATAGGCAGATAAAGTGGTTAATAACCCGCTAACGTCCAATACTTTCCCTTTGACAAGGAACATAATAAAGCGTGGGACAGAGCATAATTATAACAAAGTGGGGAGCATTGCAGCATAATCAATGGGTTAATAATATTTTAATCTGCAAGTATAAAGTAACTTATTCCTTTTATAAACTTATATTTTAGAACAGGAATTATTCTATGTTGGTATAAAAAAAAATGTAAAAAAGAAAGTGGTCACTGAACTTAAAGAAATGCAAGATATCCTTTATCAGTATCATTCAAATCCTATGGGAGGACATAGTGGTATCAACAACACTCTTTCAAAAATTTCCAATTTTTATATGTGGAATGGTATGAAAGAGGATGTGGTTGAGTATGTAAGTATAATAAAGCAAAATAATTATCTTCAACTAGCACAAGATGAATCGTTCACAGATTCAGGTAAAAATCTTAGTTTGAAGTCACTTGATCTATAACATTCTTACCGTCACATTATTTTTACCTCAATTTAGTGTAAGTCATGTGATCGTTGTCAGCGATATGAAAAATTAAAGACAATGGCCCCTGAGCTTCAAAGTATTAAAGTTAATAAGGCTATGGAATTGGTTGGAATGGATCTCATTGGTGTGTAACCATGTTATTGTATAATTTTATCAATCACCTGGTGTCATTAATTTAAAATTACAAAATTTAAGTTTCTCTGCACAGTTTGCTAACTTGTACCTTTTTTGTTTGTTCTATATTTTACAGGTCCACTCCCAACCACAACAGCTGGTTATAAATATGTTCTGACGTTTACAGACTACTATACAAAGTTTGTGGATTTTTATCCTCTGAAAGACAAAACTGCAGGAGGTGTTGCTCATGGCATTAAAACCTTTGTTTGCAGGTAAACAAAGTAATTGAATTTATCTTTGAAGTAAATAAGTGTGATTTGTTGTGTTCTGGATAGTTTGTATACCAGATCTCTAATCTTGAACAGTGCGTTTTAATGCATTTTTGTTTTTTTCTACAAGATGGGGAGCCCCATGTAGATTGCTATCTGATCAAGGGCGGGAGTTTGTTGCGAAGGTAATTTATAATTTGGTTTACCACTTTACCATTTCAAATTCAATATATCCGATTCTAAGTTTACTATAACAACCCTAGGCCTAGCATCCCTCTCTTTGATGCATAAAGCCATCTGGAGTTAAAAAGAGTGAACAAAAAAGTAGATAATTTATTGAAACTATTGCTGTGATTTTCACAGGTGAACACAGAGATCTGTAGGCATTTGGGAATTTCTCGTTCGGTCACCAGTGCATACCATCCACAAACCAATGGACTTGATGAGCGCACAAACCAAACACTAAAGGTGCGACTAGCAAAACTTATCAATGAACACCAAGATAACTGGGATGACTATTTAGAAGAAATAGCTTTCTCAATTCGTACCCAAAAGCAAGGTTCGACAAAGTATAGTCCCTTTTTCCTGATGTTTGGACGGCATGCAAGGACTCCAATGGAGGTAAGTACAAAATGCAGTGTACATAAACCAAGCAAAATGATAATCACTGCTTCAATTCATAAAAATTCGTTTCTTTTAATTAAAGATGGAAGACCCTTTAGACGAGGAAGATATCAAGCCAGAAGATCCATCTGCAGAAGAGTTTGAGGAGATGGTTGCAGAAAGGGCTGATATGATGAAGAATGTTGGAAAGAAGGTAACGTTTTCAGGTTATCCCACAAATCAACCAATGTAATTTGTTATCTCATTCATGGCAGCCAATGAAACTTGTTATCTCATTTGATTTTGCCGGAGTCATGCCAAACCTAACGTGCGAATGTGTATACTCTGGTTTCAACATTGGGATGGTGTCCACTTACAAGCAGGCTTTTAGCCAGAAGGGCGTTCTGGGACGCCCCTAGAACGAAAAATGGACACCTTTGGATGCCCAAGTTCTGGGAAAAAGGGAAATTATTTTCAATAATTTCCCTAAGTATATTAATATATCTGAAACGAAATAGCTTTAATTCTCATTATTATTATACATTTGACATTTTGATCAATTTGATTGTGTACCTTGGCTGAATGAAAATGTCGTAGTTAAGTAAAGAAGCATAGCGGCACAAACTCACAAAGCCAAGTGTGTTTGAAAAATTTCGAACAAGCTTGCAACAGATACTGACATGAAGTAACACAAACTTCAAAGGTTTTCCAGAGGAACGTTTTCTCGAAACCACCGCCCCCCCCCATCTTTACTGTAGATGTTTCTTTATACCAAAATTGGACGCCCTCTTAGGACCAAGAGGCGTCCACAAGGACTGACTGCAGCATGTTTTGTTGCTAAATGTTCCTTTTTCATACTATTAGGTAAAAGAGAATGTTGATAAGGCCCAAGCAAAGCAAAAGGAAGAATATGCAAAAAAGAAAAACAAGGGTGTGAAGGTTTTTAATCTTTCAGTGGGAGATGTTGTCCTTCGAAAATGCATGAAAAACACTGGACGAAAAGGTGGCAAGTTGGATGCTCTATGGACTGGTCTTTACAGGTATTAAGTAAAACAGTGAAACAGTTACAGTAAGTCTCCCACAAGACAAAATGATACTGCCTGGTTTTTTGAGAAGGGGGGAAACAAAGATGAAGGACCTGGCTTGTGAACCCATAGAATGATACTGTTCGCAAGAAACAGATCAGACACCTTCTATGCAAAGTCATTTGAATATATTATTTTATTTAGGATTGTTGAAATCGATAACCACCAAAGGATCCAACTGGCCCATATCAAAAGCGGGGAAACGTTAAAAGTGAAAGTCGCATATGATCAAATCCGTCCACATGTTACAAGTGATCTTCATAAACCGGTGGTGCCTGAAGTATCTATTAATCCTGACCCAAGCAGCCGCACACTGTCAGATATAACAGACAATGATGTTCCTAGCAATCAGTCTGCTGTTCTTTGTCCGATAAAG